GCAGAGCTGCAGGGCGTACGGGGTAGCCGTCACTTTCCTGCCTCACAAGGGCGGGGCTGTCCCGGAAAGTGAGAAACGCCGGGCAGCGTGGCGCATTACTGAACCCTCCCATACGTGCTTGTGCTTCCTCCTTCGCTGTCCCATCTCCTCATCTCTTTCCCGCCTGGGCGGGGCGGCGGGCGGGCGCGCGGTGCGGCGTGGCGTGTGCGTGTGTGCGACTGCAACGGAGGACCGCTCGCAGAGGACCATTGGGTTTGTACTATTAACAACGAAGGCGCTCTCAAAGAAAAAGAAAAAAGGGAATGAGGAGACCAGCGGGGGAGACTCCCCGCCTATGCAAGCCCCAGAGAGGGGCCGCCATCGCCGAAGCTGTGCCAAAGCATAACTCCAAAACCCGCAGCGGCCCGGGGGGCCTTGGGGGCAGCCTGCCGGACCGCCGCTGCACGGGGCTAGGCACCAGAAGATGAGTGGAATTGATGAATTGGGCCGTTGTCCGTGCCTCCCCTCTATACGTCAGAGTGGGACCTACGCCGCGCCGGGTAAGGGGCGCGCCCGGTCCTCGACGGAGCCGCGCGCCCCGAACGACCCAGGCGGCGAGTAGTCGTCCTCGAACCTTCGACATGTAGTTGCCCATAGTTAGCGCCCGCCCGCCCCCCCCCTCCGTCGCTTCGCAAAAGAAAAAACAAAACAAAAACAAGCAAAAGAGAAAGCGAAGCCAGAAAACGATTGCGTAAACGGCGTCACAAAGCCCGCCGGTTTTGATCGACAATCGTGAGATTGACCGCCGTCGACCAGAGAATGGCAGACGATGCGTCAGCTTGTGCGGCGCTCGCGCCGCGCAGGCTGGCCCATCGAGGGCACTCTCTGGCGCTGTCCGGGCCAAGCGCGGCGCCGCGCATGCTGCGTGCCACTCGCCGTGGCTTGCGGTGCAGCGCCACTGCAGCCTCGAAAACGTCGCGCACAGCACCAGCATGCTGCCCACCGGGCAGCAGAGTGCTGCACCGGCGTGCAGCGGACGCTGCGGCGCTGCGGCACCGCCTCCCCGCCCTGTCCACGGAGCAGGCGAGCGGCGGCACGGCCTTCCACCAGCTGCAGGAGGTGCGCACTTCCCGGTGGAAGCACAGGATGCTCCCTCCGCATACGCAGCTTTGCGCAGCGCAGCGTACGGGCCACGCCACGCAAAGCCGACCCTCAGTCTGCCCAAGAGGCTGTCTGCGGAAGGCCTGGCAGCGTGTACTCGCCTCCTCCGCGGCCATGCCCTCCGCCCGGGCGAGCGAGGAGCGGGGACACAACCATTTCTGGAATCGTGTGTCCCCGAAGGAAGAACTTTCTTTTTGGGGCGCACCGAGCCGGGCATTTGCCTCGGTGGAGCCTCGATCGGTGCCGAAGAGTGGTGAAATTTAGAAAAGGAGTTGCGGTGTTGATCGCCGCGGGAGCCCTCTTATACTCAGGTCCTGCTAGCAAGTCATGAACAGGGTAAGGGAGGGAGGGAGAGCAAACAACTGAGAGAGAGAGGTAGGTAGGTAGAAAGGTGAAGAACAGCCAGGCTCGGACTGGACACCAACGCGGTATGGGTGGACGCTGGACAGATGATGACGACACGCACGAGCGACACACAGACACAAACAAGCTCACAAGACACACAGCCAGCGGGCTGCCACACACCCTGAGTTGGCGTACACATAACTAGAGAGAGAGAACAACTGGGAAGTTCACAGCTGAGCTCACCAGGCAGAACTCTTCTCTCGCGGGCTCGACAGCGTATAAGGCTGCCTGCGTGGCGTCGAGGACGCGACAGGGTCCGTCGACCACGCCGCCATGGACGAGATTCTCGCGCTGCAGGCCGAGCTGGCGCGCGTGCAGGAGGCGCCGACTGCCTTCAAGCTCTCGGAGCCCAACATCGTCGAGATTGTGAGCACGCTCTCGCAGCTGCGGCTGGTCGACGTGCTCTTCACGACCAACGGCAAGGAGTACCTGACGCCGGAGCAGCTGCTGCGCGAGGTGGGGGACGAGATCCTCTCGCACGGCGGCCGCGTCAACGTCGCCGACCTGCCCGCCCTCCTCAACGTCGACCTCCCTCACATCGAGCGCGCCGTGACGCAGCTGCTGGCCGCCGGCCGCGACGGCCTGCAGCGCGTGGGCGGGGAGGTGCTGACGGAGTACTACCTCGACAGCCTGGCCGAGGAGATCGACACCGCGCTCCGCGGCGTCGGCCGGCTCACCCTCGCCGAGGTCGCAGTCGCTCACGCCCTCTCGACCGACTTTGTGACGTCGGTGGGGCATCTCCCGCGCGCGAGATGCAATCTCGGTCCATCTCGGCTGATCTCGGCTGATCTCGGGGGATATCAGGTGGTGGAGTCGCGGATCGGCGCTCTCATCCACGCAAAGCTGTCGGGCGGAAGCCGCTAGAAGCGGAAACACTCCTCCTCGTGTGTGGTGCACGCATTCCAGCCGGCTTTGAAGGGAGCAGGCCTTCCGCTGCACTTGAAGGGAGCAGGCCTTCCGCTGCACTCCAGTGCACTCGACTGCGTTCCGCGGTCGTCACTGTCTCGCCGGGCCTTGCACTTTAATGCCGCGGGGCTCCTGTCGTCTAGACGTGGAGACGCGAGGGACCAGCCTGGCCCTTGCCCCACCACCTCGTGTGTGTGGAGACATGTACCTTGCCTCACCGTACCTCGCCTTACCTTAGGCGGAAGTCTCTTCACCGCCAGCTACGTCGCTCGGCACCTGGCGCGCGTGCGCGGCGTCCTCTCGGCGCTTCACGGGCCCGCCTCGCTCCCCGCGCTGCTCAAGGCGCGCAAAAGACACTTCCCCAGACATGTCCCCAGACACCTCGCAGACACCTCGCCGACCCATTCTCAGACACCCTCCACAACATCTCACATTTCCCTAGCTAGTGAGCGCCTCTCCCCCCCACCCAGCCACCCAGCCAACCACCGACCCATCCATCCACCCACCACCCAGCCCCACACACCCACACACACACCCACCCAGCCAGACACCCACACGCGTGCGCAGGCGCACGGCTTCAACGAGGCCCTCTTCTACGAGGCGGTGGGAGGCTTGCACGCCGCCGGCCGGCTGGCTGGCACGCTGCAGGCGAAGACCTCCTTTACTCCAGCGGTGCACCGGCTGGCGCAGGCGGCGGCGGTGGGCGCGAGGCGCGCGAAGAGAGCGGCGCGGTCGTCCTGCGTCGTCCCTGAGTCCGTGTAGCTAAGAGCGAACTCGTGCCTAGCGTAGGTATGAGCAGAACGGCGTCGTG